CGGGCGGCCGGGCCCCCCCCCAACCCCCCCAGCCAAGCCAGGCGGCTGGAGCTGCCAGCCCCACCGCCCGAAGCCCAGCCCTGCTCCCATCCCATGGGCTCTGCAGCACCCTGTGCCCAGGGAACAGAGCTGCCGCAGCCAGCACCAGCCCGCCATACAGTGCGGTGTCCCAGGCATGCGGATGCTTGGCGCAGGAGCGGGACCAAAGGCACAGGGAGCAGCTCTGCGTCATAGGCTTGGAAGCCCCATCGCTCCTGGTCAAGGGCTCCAGACAGAAACAACATTCCTGCACACGCTTCCCGTATCTGCTGCCCTGACGCTGAGCTGCGCGTGGGCTGGGATCGCGTCCTCCAGCTGGGCCCAGGACCCTTCTTGGCAAACCGTGCCGCATGCCGTGGCCTCGCAGCACTCCTGGCACAGACGGTCCCCAACCCTGCACGCCTTCCCCGCCTGCATCCTCTGTGGATGCACCTGCTCATCTCCCTGCCTGTCCCTGCCAGACCCTGCCTGTCCCTTGCCTCACCTGGGGAACTCCCCACCCCTCAACACCAGCTTCTTGCAGTCCTTTGCCCCTGTTTGCCTGGGCAGGAGGTGGTGTCCTGGTCCCCAGCCCCGCTGCCCCCCCAGCCCCAGTGCTGCTGCTCTCCGCAGCCTCTCGTCTGGGTGAGGATGACGCAGCCGGCGTCAGCCGGGCGGATCACCACCGCCCTGCAGGCACTGAAACCAGCACTGCAGTTTCATCACTCAGTAGCACCGATCCCAGCTGCAAACCGCACATGACGGATCCCCCCAGTCGTCACACCGGCTCCAGGCACCCAGGTGTGTCGCACAGTCACCTCCCTGCATCGGGCTGGGACATCCCCCCTCCACGCCTTCCCTGTCCCATTCACACCCCAGGAACCCCCCCATCTGTTTGGGTCCCACAGGGATGCTGGAGCAGGAATCTCCCACCCAGCGCTCTGCTCCTCCAGGCAGAGGGAAGGGGACTTTGGGAAGGGGTGTCCACAGGCAGCCCCGCTGCCGTCATCCCCTCAGCCACCTGGGAC